GTGCGTGCGGTGCGGCTTGCTGCCGTGCGTGCGTTCGGTGCGTGTCGTTCGTGCGTGCTCGTGCGTGCGTGCGTGCGTCGCGTGGCCGTGCGTGCGTGCGTGCGTGCGTGCTTGCGTGCTTGCGTGCGTGCGTGCGTGCGTGCGTGCGTGCGTGCGTGCGTGCGTGCGTGCGTGCGTGCGTGCGTGCGTGCGTGCGTGCGTGCGTGCGTGCGTGCGTGCGTGCGTGCGTGCGTGCGTGCGTGCGTGCGTGCGTGCGTGCGTGCGTGCGTGCGTGCGTGCGTGCGTGCGTGCGTGCGTGCGTGCGTGCGTGCGTGCGTGCGTGCGTGCGTGCGTGCGTGCGTGCGTGCGTGCGTGCGTGCGTGCGTGCGTGCGTGCGTGCGTGCGTGCGTGCGTGCGTGCGTGCGTGCGTGCGTGCGTGCGTGCGTGCGTGCGTGCGTGCGTGCGTGCGTGCGTGCGTGCGTGCGTGCGTGCGTGTGTGTGTGTGTGTGTGTGTGTGTGTGTGTGTGTGTGTAGAGCATTGCGCCAATGCACCAACGCCAATCGGACCACACCCCTCGGCCCATTCAGCAAAAGCCTTCAAGCAGGTGCAGGTCGTAGCAGGTCCTAGCACGAAGCCAAACGCGGACATCACACCGCTGCACCCGAGGCCTGCAGACCGAGGGGTGGAAACAACTCCCAGCTTGTTTTTCATGCAAAGCCGCAGTTCCTGCCACAAGCTGTCGAACAGGTTTACCAAGCAACGAAGCATCACGAAGCCATGCCCCCAAAGGCCATAAAATGCTAAAGGCTTGATTGCCAACGCATGGCTCAGCCGCTCAGCAGCTCAGCATGTCAATTTTTTCTGGACCAAGGTGGGCCAGACGAAACTTGGGGAAAGCGCTCCCATTGCCACGCCAGGCCCCGCGAGACTTTGCTCCACGGACGCTCCGTGCCCTTTCGAAGGCCGCGAAGCAGTTCGGCCAGGCGGAAGGGCGATGGTGGGAGGCTTCAAGTCCCAAAGAGGTGCCATAGCCATGGCATTCTGGCAAAGAAAGTGCGAGTGCGTCAAGGGAGGCATCCCCCAACAATTCCCAAGCCAGCCATGAGCCATTCCAATCCATCAGAAGCTCTCAGACTGCGCTCGAGAGTGGACTTCTCTGGCAGGGCCAGGTTGCCGATGGCGTCAGGGCCGCGGTGGCGGCCGTTTGCGAGGTACAGAATGATGGGGGGGGGGGGGGGGGGGGGGGCAGATGGGGAGATGGGGAAGGGATGCAGCGAAAGCAGTGAAGCCTGCCACGCCGTGGCACACTGCTTTGTAAAATTGGGCGTGCAAGCCTTGTTCCCTCCTGCAAGTTTTCTTCCCTTCTGAGCGAGGGCACCTGTGATGGTGGCTTCTCGATGCGCGCCTTGAGTGCGCTGTGCCGCCAGAGGCGGGGGAGTCCTTGCAGCGGAGCAAAGTGTACCAGTGGGTTCCTCTCCCAACGTGTTTGCTGAATTTCATCAGCACAAGTTGACGTGAAGAGATTCTTGGGGCAGAGAGGCTGCGGCTGGTGGTCGCTTTAGAGACGGCCTCGGTGTTGCTGGAGGCTCTGACGGTGTTGGTTTTGGGCGTGGCCGGTGCCCCGGTGCCCTGCAGTAAAGCCGCCGAAGATTGGGTGAGATTTCCTGTGTCGTTGAGCCGGTTGACCCGAGAAGACTCCCGAAAAGACGCCTGAGAAGAGTCTTGAGAAGCATGAGGTTTTGCAAGAGCTTGAGCTTGGGGATTCTCTACCATGGCTTGGCGACTTCGATCATGCAGCTTTGCGGGCGGTGCCAGGCTCAGCGCCAGTTGGGCCAAGAAGATGTTCTGAGAAGGATTTAAGTGTGGTTTCTAGTTCCAGTGCCATCAGTGCCATGGAGATGCTGCGTGTCAAGGACCGGAGATCTTCATGCAGTTTTCGTCCCTCCACCCTTTGCTTCCCCACTGCGCTCCAGCAATGCCGGCAGCTGCTGTTTTTTTTGCTGCACCTTTCAGCAGCCCCATCCCTGAGAACGGTCCCCCACCTCGGGAACTATCCTGGGCCTGCTGCCTGCTGTGCCCGCTATGCCTGTAGATGAAGTGTCTGAAGCAGCCGGATTCATACCGTGGGCTCTTGCTGGCTCAGGTGCCCTTCGCGCTGTTCATTTTCGGCCGCTGCTTTGAGCAGCTTGCGCATCACAGGCCGGGCTGGGCAGAGCAGACCGCGGACGGTGGAGGTCATTCGTGTGATTTTGTTGCCTCGAAAAAAAATGCTAACACGGGCCCTGGCTTTTTTTGCTTTCTTGCTTTCTTGGGACGTTGCAGGCGGCGGAAGCTCACGGAGCAGGCCCAGACTTGTCACCTCGGACGAAGAGATAACCTGACCGTTCTTCGCTTGCTGAGGTGGCGCTGGCGCTGCGGTCCCGGCTCTTCCAAGCGGCCAGCCGCGGGGGGCCACTGCCGTCGCCGGCGCTGAAGGAGGCGGTCGAGGCACTCACCACGCGCTGCAGGCAAGCAACAGCAGTCAAACTCAGAGAGGTAGGGACAGAGAGAGAGGAGTCACAAAACACAAGGTAATTGCAGAAATAATCGAGAGGGAAGACGAGAGAGCGGCGGATCTTTGTGTGTGTGTGTGTGAGTGTCTTATCGCTCCGTTGTTTATCTTGCCTGCAAGTCAAGTCTCAAGTGTCTTCTTCTTTTTGGCAAAGCCTCTCCCCTAATCTCCTCCTCCTCCTCCTCGTCCCTCTTCGGTCCTGTTTGACGAGAGGCTCCGTTTGGTGGCGCCCGTTTTGGGCGGCGCCTTGTCTGTGGCCTTCCTGGTGACGGCCACCAGCATCGCGGCCGCGGCAGGAACCAGCATGCTGCTCTTGGCCACGGCCCTGGAGGCACAAAGCGACAAGAAGCTGAGAAACTTTCGCGCAAAGAAACTGTCGCGAAAGGAAGTGGTGCGCGGGGAGTTGCCTTAAAAAACCTCAGCCCTTTCGAAGGACAACAAGTGGTGGTTTGCAAGAAAGGACTGTTGCGCAACGAAACTGCCACGAAAAGAAGCTGTGTGCGAGGAGTTGCATTAGCAAGCCAGCCGCCCTTTTCGAAGGAGAACAAGTGCCGGTTTGCAAAAAAGCTTTCGTCACGAAAAGAAGCGGTGTGCGGGGAGTTGATCGTTCGAAGAAGAACAAATGCATGTTCCGCTGCATGAATGCGTAAAACGTGTATCCTATTTTTCGGATAAATCACCCAAGATGGAGATGATACTCCTCTAGATGCCACCTCATCTTTCAGCTCCATTCGTTTCCACCTAGAACCCAATGAAAGATGACCCCCTCATCTTTCAGCCGTCCTCCACACAGAACCCCATGAAAGATGAGCCCCCGCATCCTTCACCCCCCTTCCCTTGATGACCCCCTCATCTTTCAGCCCGCTTCCCTTCCAAGCCCCTCATGTTTCAGCCCCCTTCCCTTCCACCGAACACCATGAAAGACATCACTCTCATCTTTCAGCTCCCTTCCCTTCCTCCCAGAACCCCATGAAAGATGACACCCTCATCTTTCAGCCGTCCTCCGCCCAGAACCCCATGAAAGATGAGCCCTCCTCGTTGCGTATTCGGCAAGATTCCAGTACAGTTGCCCGCCCGATCATCCGCCTCAAACTACCTGGCTTGCTTATTCAAGCAACATTTCGGCGCGGTCGCCCGCCTGAGCCTCGCGCCGCTTGTCCTTAAAATCGCACGACGTGTCGGCAGGGAACAACCGTGTGTGGAGAGTTGCCTTCAAAAGCCAGAACTTTCGAAGGAGAACACGTCTCACGTGGTTGCCTGCAAAAGAGCTATCACGCACCGCAACTGTGACGAAAAGAAGCTGTGTGTGTGTGTGTGTGTGGGGAGGTTCGTAAGATCTTTCCGAAGAAAGTACGCAGCTGTTTGCAAGAACACGATCGCGCAACAAAGTTCAACAAAGCTGTCGCAAAAAAGAAGCTGTGTGCGAGAGTTGCCTTGAAGCAAGTCCTTTCGAAAGAAACACGTGGCGCCTTGCACAAGATCTGTCACGCAACGAAACGGTCACGAGGGGTTCAGGATGCCACAAGTACTGCTGTATGAAGCAGGCCTCCGAGACTTCTGTCCGTTGCTTTGCAGTCACAGTTGTTCCACAGTTTGTTCAAGACTCCACATAACGTTACTCTGCTCGAGGGTTCCTGGTTCTTGGCAGAGGGTTTCTCGGTTCTCATATAAGCCTTTGAGTCGCCGCTCGGTTCAGTTCAGTCACAGGTCTTCTTGAAGCGGCGCGTGGCCAAGTGGGAGCATGCCACTTCCAAGCTCCGACGCCGGAGGGAGGCGCCGTCTCCTCACGCATTTCACGCAGTCTCTGCATTGGGGAGCAACAGGGTGCGCTTCTTGCAATTGCATTGAAGCATTCCTGCGAAGGCCTTGTCTGACACGTTCTTCTTTGACATGAAGTGCGCCTCCGCCACGGCCAGACTCTGAGAGAGATGAGCTCAGGAGAGTCTCGTTAGGAGTAGTCGTTACTCCCCCACACACCCCTCCCCCCCGCTTCAACGTGCTCTCAGGTGAAGATCTTCGGCTGGGAGCAGTTGGCCTTCGGGCAGTTGGCCGAGCTCCGCAGCGAGGAGCGGCGCCTCCAGGACCGGACCCAAAGGCTCCAAAGCACCGCGTCCGGGGACCCAAGCAAATGAAGCATCTCTACTCAGCCTCTACTATTGTGTCCCATAACTGTCTTCATTTCAATTTTTGATGCTGGCTTTTGTATGTGATATATCTGATGTATGTATATACAAGCAGAAAATTCTTATCTACTTTGTTCGCCTGTGAAAGTACATCCACTTGAGGTCGGCAGTGCAGTCTGTGGCCGGTATCTGGGGCTGCCTGGCCTCGCTGGCCCTCTACTGGCTGGCCGCTTGGCACCTGAAAACTTGCCTGCGCGTCCCGAACAAATCAAGCGCATCGAAAGGCGAAGCAACGGGAATAGAGGAATCTGTACTCGGTCGAGCCAAGAGTTTGGGCCAAGAGGCCGTGTCCACGCTTCTCACGGGGAGGACCGGAAAGCATCGTGTAAACTCAGGTCCTGGGGCCGCCGAGCCTGTGGAGATGCAAGCCGCTCAGAGCAGCGGCCACCCCAAGACCCCGCCCAAAAACAAGTCTTTGCTGAGGGATTGCTGAGGGCGCGCGTATGGGTGGAGACTTGGAGAGGTGGATTGTGAAGGTGGCTCGGCCACTTTGTAGATTTCAGGTGGGTTCCCCTTCCCGTGTTGTGGTCATGCGTATCCGGCATGAACCCTGCTGATAGCAGGAAAGAGCTCGGAGAGTTCCCGCGCTTGGCTTGCTGAAATTCACCCCCTGCCTTCGAGACAATCATAGCATGTTTGCTAGAGTCAACAGGTTGGAGCATTGTGCTTCATAGAAGCTGTGGCAAGAACTCCGTTTCTGTGGCGTTTTGAAGTGGAGCCGGTGCCCATGCTAAGGCTTCCAAGCGTTGGCAGCCTGCAGGCCCACCAAACCATGTGCTGTCATATTTGCCTTATCGGGGTGGGCGTTTACTTTGTGCAGAGGCTGCTGGGGCGGCAGCTGCAGCAGGGCCTGGGCATTCTGCTCATCGCCTTCCCTGCGGCCGTCCAACGCCCACCTGTCTGATTGCTTTTTCTGTCTTTCCCGTAGGGGGCAGATGCGTCACGCGTGGCCACGCGTCGTTATATATGCCATGGCTGCGTCATGACCATGTCACGAGATGTGGTATGACAGAGATGCGAGAGAGCGCTGCAGAGGCTGCAACTCAAGCGCTCAAGGCGCCGAAGCTCCCACCAAAGCAGGCTGGGCCCGAGAGAGCCTTACCCCTGTGAACTCTCCCCCCCATCATTCTGAAAGCTTCGGCTGCTTTTGTCCTACAGCCATACATGTTTTCATGCTCCATAAAACATATTCCAGAAATGCCTCAGAAAGGGCACGCTGGCCTCCTACAAGACCTCGCGCCTTGCGGTGGCCCGTGTCCCCAGTGAAAGGAAATGAAGGTTCTGAAGGGTTTAGGCAGTGCGGGAGGGGTCCTCAGGCCATGAAATTCCATTAGGGGGACTCAGAGTTCTGGGAGCCTCCTTGTGCATCCTTGTGCCGAGGCCGTGGAGGGCATGCGCTTCTTTTGGCAGCGTGGCGAGGCCGACGAAGAGCGCCACACGATTGAGATGCGTTTATGCGGAAGCTGAATGGGGAGGCTGCGCCGCCTTCGCCTCCCAAGCCATCAGGCTGATCGCAGCCTTGCTTCTGCAAACATCTCGACTATACGGCGCTTCATTTGAACGTTGCTTGCCGTGTCTTTGCGGGTCTCTCGTGGCATCTCGTGTGCACGTGAAGGGCTCACGGCCGCCATGAAGGCGAAGAAGGCGCACCGAAGCGTCGCCTGTAGCTTTGTGACGGAACACGGTGAGACCGTTCGTCTTTGAATGCTTTTTACCACTCCCACATCTTCGGCCTTTCAGGTGGGGAACAGCCTGAGCCTGGTGGATTCGGTGACCGACGATGCCTCGGTGGCTGAGCGGGCGAAGCGAAGCGTGCCTGGCTGTCAGCTGCTGTTCGAATGCAAGATGTCCTCAGCATCCCCCAACACTGTACACAACGTATCGAATAGTGTCACTGACAGTGTGGGCATTTGACAGGCAGGCGTCCACCGGCTTCGATTTGAAGGCGCGCTCGCAGCCTCTCGAGCGAGAGCAGGGCTCGCTGAGGCGAACATGCTATCTGTATCCCGCCAGGTGTTGTCACTGCAGGTCAAACGAGGCGTTGGCAGAGTACAGAGCTTCGGCACTGGACAAAGACGCCTTGGTGTTGCCGGCGTCAGGTTCGCAAGTAGCCCTGGTTGGAGCTGCCGGCTCTGGCAAGACGAGCTCTCGGTCCTGTTTGAGGGGTTTTGCCCAGCCCGTTGATGCCTTGCCATGCTCAGGTCAACTCTCCTGGCAGGCTTGGCAGGAGGCACGCACAAAGTATAGGCAGTCCACAGCCGACATAGTCGACATTTTTCCACCAGACATGATGCTGCTTTTGGAGGCTGCCAGTCCGAGCTTTGGGGAGAGGACATGGAAGAGAACGGCATCCTCCTCTCGGGAAGGTGTGAGTTGCACCGCAGTCGCAGCTTGCCTTTGTGCCCGAAGTGCCCGCTTTTTGCCTCAGGCTCGCCTACGCGCCGCAACAGCCGGCCATATTGACGGGAAGCAGCATCCGCGAGAATGTGCTTTTCGGATCCGTGTGGGACACGCACAGGCCGGACGCCTGTGGATGTCTGCGGATTGATGCAGATGGAGAGTCGTTTTCGTACATGGGCCCAGGTACGAGCAAGTCCTGGCAACGTCCACCCTGTCAGAGGAGCCCCATGTTTCAGAGCCGCATGCACACGCGCACAAACCTTGCATTATTTTCCAATCTGTGGGAGCTGACGCAGAGGACCTGTCGACAATGCCACTGGGTGATCGCAGCCTTCCAGACAAATTGAGCCGGAGACTTACCTCAACTACTGGTCGTATCGCAGCATCCCAACAGACTTTGCAGCACAACCTCTCTCCCTGTTCACTGTTGCTATAAGGTTTTGCGCCACCCTCAGAAGTAGTGGTTAGCTGCGATACTCTCTATGCTAGGAGACGGAGTTCCTCAGAATACTCTGGCAGCCTACGGCTAAAGATAGGCAACTTGAAGCCGCTGGGTTCAAGGTAGGACTTAAGCTCCGAGCACTCTGCTTGCACGCTGCTTGCACGTGTGTACTGAGTTTCAGTAGGTCCGCGTCTCTCTCTCTCTCTCTCTCTCCTCTCGCCTCTCCACCTTTGGATCCTTCCAAGTGTTTATAAAGGCTCCTTCTCTCCTACCTCTCACGTTATCTGTGCTGTTAAGTGCAGGTGCCGCGGCTTTGCAAGCTATGCAGTTGGCGCGCGCCCTGTACATGGAGGCAGCTCTCTAAACTATGGGCCTCTTTCCGCCCATGCGGGTGCAGTTCATTGCGTGTTGTGCATAGACACTGCCCCCACAAACCTCCCGTACCATGCCTCAGCCGTTGAAGGAGCCGTCCAATGAATCCAAGATGCCCCTGGACCCACATACTGCATTGGATGCCTATGATTCCACATGCTGCGACCGCAACGTCACCACTGCAAAACTGCCAAAGACATGGTCTAACACGAAAACTTTTCGAAGCTCTTGCGAGAGAAGGCCGAGATTTTGCTGCTGGACGAGCCTTTCCTCCATATGGAGCCGGACAGAGCGAAGCGTGCTCTCTCAAGCTTGGTACCGCTCTCAGTTGTTTCTTCTTGTGCTGGAATATGACGGTTTCCTTGGAAGGTGCGGAAGACCAAAGATAGAACCTTGGTACTTGCAACGCAAGCGCTATCGGTTCTTGGCCCGCTTGGGATCCCAGCATGCGAGAACATGCATGATAAATTGCGGCAACCATGACTGCACACAACGTGTGCTTGAAGGATGGACAACATCGTGGTCCTTCGAAACGGCACGGTCTTCGAACAGGTGCCGCCCGTCTTCCTGTGACGCATTATGCTCTGTGCGCTGACATTTGTACCAGACACTTGTTTGTTGTTGCTTGCTTGAATATCGTGTAAGTCATGTACATGACACTTCTTCCCCGCTACCTAGATATGCAAAATAAAGAAATCGGTCTACATATATATATATATACATGTACAGCTAGTGGAGCATATACATGCATGCTGTACTGTTCTGAATGCTGACGAATCGCCAGGGGGACTACAAGACATTGGCCTCGATGCCCACAGAGTTCAGCAGGTGCTTAGGCTCTGATGTTTCAGGCCTTTTTTCTCCCCCGGTTAGAATGCCAACCTGCTCAAATGGTTTGCTTTCGAAATGGAATTTGGCTGGGGCCCCAAAACTATCTCCTGGCCAAGGCCGACTGTCGAGAACTGTAGAAGTGGACCCTTGCGGTCAGTAAGTGTCGCGAGGGTCGTACGGGTTTTCTGCCAGTCCTGGATGCCAAAAAAAGTATTGGGTGCTATCATGGGACTGAGGCTGCTCCTCATTGCCAAGGAGAAGGAGCAAAGTAGCAAAGCGCGCACAGAGAGCCCTTCCATGTAAAGGATGTTTGTCAGCAGCACGGGGGGTCCGCGTGGTATCAGTCAAGAGTCAAATGCAGGAGAGTCCAAGCCCAAAAGGAGGGACTTTGTGGCAGGACAAGCGCTCTCGGGAATCCACATCTCGCGGCTTCTCCTGCCCGTACATCTGCTACGAGGCACCTGGGAACATCCCCCGATCCACGAATCGACGCAGTCTGCAGTCTGCGGATGCTCATTCTGGCTCTCGGCTCTCGAGCAGATCTGGAGCTCAGGTGGCATCCGATCCGCTGCGTGAGCTGTACCCCTTGGATGAAGAGTTTGGCACCTTCCCAACTTTCGGATCTGGGTGGGCAGCCGCAGAGTATGCGGTAAGCCGCAGTATGCCACAACACAGTACAAGCTCTTAAGACAACCAGAGAGGCCTCAGCTGCACCTCAGGTCCGTCTTGGAAGCAGGGCCGCGCAAGTGGGTGCCGGATTCAACTGCGCTTCCGGCATGTTGCAACCTTCACGGCCCCTGCCGTTTCCGAATCCCCCGAACCTATGTCTCCAAGCAAACAACAACGACACATCCTTTGTGCCAACTTCTCGTGCGAGGCCAGCAGCCAGCAACCGCCACCGCCTCCTGAGTGACAGCCTCAGGGATCTACAGGAAGCCCTGCATTCATGGTTGCACTCGCCAACAGCGTGGGATTCGAAGGCCGATGGCGAACCAGTTTGCTCCCACTGCCGTTCCAACTGGATCCCCCGGCGTGGCTTGGCCCGGCTATGAATCGAAAGTTACTAGCATGGGAATTGGACAGAGCTTGCCGTGCACCGGGTGTGGAGGGCTGAGTAGACCTCACGTAGAGAAGTCAGTGATGCGAAGAGATGTCTCTTCGAGAGATGAGATGTTGATAGTTTCGCACAGACGTATATGAGAATGGAGTATGTGAAATTAGTTGCCCTCCGTTCTAAATTGTGTCTTTCTAGTCTTGCATCACACTTTAGTGACAGAACAGGCCGAAGACCCGCCTCCGAAGCGTTTGCCCTCCGCCTCCGCCGTGCCCGCCGTGGGCGCTTCCGAGGCGTGGGGAAGGGCTTAGGGTTCCACGAATGAGAGTACACCACTCTCATAGGATTACCTGGCGAAACGAGAGCTCTCTTTTGACAAGGTGCGTTCACCATCAATCATGCGGTCTAGATACTGATTCACCTTTCGGACGTACCATTCATCTCTCTCGCTCTTGTTCCACAGCCTTGTTCACCCATCCCCTGTGCCCCATGAATAATATACTACGAAGAGAACAATAAGGCAAGGAACGCACGCGTATTGTATTCGCTTCGTATTATTGTTATCGTTATTATTATTATTAAGCGAGCACCCAAGCTGATTCACTCACTGGTTCGCTCCCGTAATCATATTGCTGTTACTGCCTCAAAGAGTGCCTGGAATCCATCCCACCGGTCAGTGTTGCCCATGAATCCGCCCTTGAGACCCAACCTCTGTTTCCAAGCCACGAAGAACCCAATGTAGTAGTACGGGCTTTATAAGGAATAGCCTGTAATATCGGTTCCCCACTTTCTCCTCCGACAAGTTGTCAAAATCTCTCTCTCTCTCTCTCTCTCTCTCTCTCTCTCTCTCTCTCTCCTTCCTGATTCGAATTATCTGCTTTGCCAAGCTGGAGGCGGGCGGCTTCCTGAACCGCCGCGGGCTCAGTTGCATGACCGCGCTGCGCCTCAAGGAACAAAAAAGGCGGCATTGACAAGCGAGAGATGCGCGACCTGAGGCGCGGCCGAATCGCCCAAAGAAGTGCCCGAGCTGCCTGAAGAGGCGGGGGAAGTGAGCAACTTCTCATGGAGCTGCGCTCCGCATCGCTCCGCATCAGGAGGGCATTCCGCTACCCAAGACCAGCGCTGCATCCAGAGACGCTTGGGCTAGCAGCGCCTAGCAGCCTAGCAGCGCCAGGTCGGTTGTTTGAGGGGTGTGGAGGATGGTGGATGTCAATGTCATGAAAATCGCTCATCGCAGTCGCTGAGGAGGTTCTTGGGATTCCTGGGCCCATTGCTCCTCCCCGACCTGCGGAGGCCAAAGTTGCGTCTTGCACTCACATGGGCAGCATCCACTCGCGCCCGATGCGACTCATGAAATGTGGCGACAGGACGACGACGTCACGTCCCCTGAAGTGCCTCTGGCCTGTTCGATGTGGATGTCGTGCCTGGATGTTGGAGGATGAAGGCTCAGGGCAGTGACCGAAGCAAAGCGAAGCAAATCGAACACAACCCAACATACGAACTTTGCACCCGAGTCATGGGCACTCGTCGGTGGCCGTTCTTCTCAACCTCAAGAAGTTCGAAAGGGCTTCTTTGGTTGTTAATGCCCAGTACGCAATGCATGCTTCTCTCGGGGCCGAGAAGTGGGCTAGACAAAAGGACCCCTCTCACGTTGCCGACCCGCTTCGGGTTTAACTTGACAAGAAGAGGTGGACCGGGGGTTGCTGGCTGCCGCAAGCTTGTTGCCTCAGAGCCTCAGAGTCACGGTGGCCGTGGTTTGTCGTGCGCGCCAGGCGGCGTCTTCGCCCAGTGCGGATGGGCTTCGACGGCGGAGTGCTGGGCCAGTGGACAGCGAGGCGAGGCCTTAAGTGGACTGTGGACCCAAACACGCGCGCGCGCGCGCGCGCGCGCGCGCGCCCATCAGATGGGCTGTGTTTTGCCTGATCAGGCCCCGTCACCTTCCCCGGTACTACGCTGGCACCTCAAGCGGGAAGTGAATACTGTAGCTTGGTGGTGAGATACTGGCCCTTACCATCATGCAGAGCTTCCTTCGGCGCACGTGTGATGGCCGCATGCCCCGGCTGAAACAAGATGAGAGTAGGCTGAGTAGGCGTGCGCGCTCAGAGTCCATCAGAGATTTCTCGGCCCGAGGTCCCGACGCCGATCACTCCGCCCCGTTGCCTCAGCGCTTGGGGAAGCCCGAAGAGGTGCCTGGGACTTGGGGGGGGGGGGCCTGAGAAAGTGTTGGGACTTGGGACTGTTGAGGATTTCAGCGCTCTCTTTCACCGCTCCCTGTGCTCTCCGCTCTCCCGCCTTCCCCCCCCAAAATCTCCCTCCACATTTCACCTCAAGTTTCCCCCCTCAAAACCCCCTTAGCTCCCGACATCCAACACCCCCGTAGCTCCCCCCCCAGCTGTTCGGGCCTCGAGAGGATGGCAAAGCGAAGCGCCGCCGCGGTGAGGCCGAAGCTTCCGTCCTCACCTGTGCTCCCCCTGTGCTCTCTCTCTCTCTCTCTCTCCCTCTCCCTCTCCCTTCCTCTCTCCCTCTGTCTCTCTTTTTTTCTTTTTGATCTCTCTCTCTCTCTCGCTTTTTGTCTCCCTCTTGGCTTCTGGGCTCACATCGGCTCGGAGAGGAGCGAGGCGAGCGCGAGCGAGGCAAAGCCAGGGCTCCGGCTCCGGCCGCTTCGGCCCCGGGCTCGGGGAAACGCTCGAAGTGAGAGATGGTTGCCGGCCCCCTCCACTTTCTCCCCCCTGCCAACGCTGGGCCGTTTCTTGAGCGAATGAGGAGATGGAGGAGAAGCAGGCGCTACGCAAGAGAGTAACTTCAAGAGCACATTCTGCGCTGTCACAGCATGCCCAGCATGCCGTGCGAGAATGTCAGCGAGGGCTTCCTGAGCTACGGGAGCCGAAGCTCCAGCGGCTTCGAGCGCTTTGAGCGCCTGGGCGGCCGCCAAGAGGCTGGCCCAAGCCGGATGTGCTTTGCACTGGTGGCCTCTGTATTCGGCACGTTCTGCTTGAGGGTCACTGTTCAAGTACTGTAGTCAATCCGTTGAGAACTCGGCTGCAGTCAATCGTTAAGAACTCGGCTGAGAACGAATTCGTTGAGAGAGCGAGAGAAAGAGAGGGAGAGAGAGAGAGCCCTTGATCGCAGCAGCTGTTGACGATCCGGTGTTGCCGTAGATGCGCCAGGTCGGGTCCCTACCCAAAGGCCGCGGCAACGGCGCAGGGGCCCAAAGACGAGTCGGGCAAGGGCTGCACAAGGAAGCTCCCTTGATGGCGCATTTCCCGATACATGAGGTGCTCCTTTTGCTCGTGAATAGTGGTCATGCCTCTGCACTTCTGGTGCGCGCCTGCAGCTTTTCGGGCCATTCGGGCCGTAAGGGCTGTACTGGTGTTTCCACCGCATGTACAGTTTGTCGCGTGTAAGTTGTCCATGTATCTTCTCGACAGTTCCGCCCAACTTATTGACAATCTTATTGAATTGTGACCTCATGGCACAGTACTAACTTGGCGCATGCTTTGGAGCTCCTCCTCTCAGGTGGCTGTCCTCGTCCTCGGCATGCTTGCAAACCTGTCTGTCAGATCCTGACGTTTGCCCTGGGAGTTGAGGAATCGATTCCCTGATGCCCGCTGAGGTGCCCATCGTTCTTAGCTACATCGTTGCTGAGGCCTGCATGTCCTGATTACAGCCTTTGCTTGTTGAAAGTTCGAGAAGGTGCCAACCGAGTCAAGCGGAAACACCGACGCAGGCACCACGTTGCACGTCGCATTGTTGGTACATAGAACATCGCCACTGCCACAACCAGCCAAGGGGGGTCCTGAGAACACAAACAACAGAGCAGCACCCATGGAGGCACAACAACTGCGTCTGCGATGACATCAACCTTGTCGGAGACTCTGCAATCAACTTCAAGACCTCCCCCTGGCCCGGTCGCAAGCTCGTTGGGGAAGCGCAGCAGAAACCATGTAAATTGCGCCGAATGTTTCAATGTCGCTGGCCTGGTGGGCGCTTGTGTGTGCTCTGAGGTTGTTCCTAGCTGGGAGCCTGGCACCACAGACAATTCAGAGGCCCAGCACTTCTCCGAGACGCTTCATGTGCTGTGCATACACATCTTATATGGAACGTTTTTTCCATTCTGGTATATATATATATATACATACATATGTAGTGGTTATAGTGACAGTGTTTGCTGTATCAGGTGGTGTGGAGAGGCTTCTCAAGCACAACGGAGGCTGCGGTGTGATTTTGACCTAACAGGGTTCCCGACATTTCCGGGCGACTGGTCTCCCGAAGGGGCGCCGCAGGCCAGCCCCATTGCGCCAACGCCATCCACGACGTCCACAACGTCCGCGACCTCTGACGTCACGGTGAGCTTGCAGGGCCCTTCAGAGGCGGCAAGCTTAGCGGGCCCATCAAAATCTATCACTGCATGAGTCTTGCAGAAGGTTGTCCTCAGATACGCGTGAGTTGACTACAGACCCCCTACTGAGAAGAGTGCTCCCAACTCTGTGTGCGTTTACAGGCCAATAAGAGTTATCAGGAAGCTGCGCTTTGGCAGCTTGTAGATGCGAAACAGCCGGCACATCCTCCACCCAGCGACGGTGAGCCGGCCGCCGGCCTTGTTTCGGCTTTCGGCCCCCCTCACGTGTAACGCAGTGTAACGTGCTTCTTGCGGTTGTGCATTGTGCACGAGATTCGACATTCAAACTTAGGAATGGAGTCTGCGGAGCACAAACCACTTCTGTGCAGAGCCTGACCTCGGGCAAGAAACGCGGCCCCAGGCAGGTGGTTCTGCGGTCAGCTGTTTGATTCTATACTCAGAAAGGCATCTCAGTTGAAGAGCCGCCTCAGTTCCCCAGACTGCGCGTAGAAGGCCGCAGTGAAGTTCTGCCCCTGTCGCTTTCCTGGTGTGCTGGTATGTCGATGTGCACGGTGCTAGCAAGTATCCTTCATTCATGGATTGACGCAAGTTTTGTGACACAGCTGTCAACACCGCTTTCCGGTCTTGCAACTGGCACAGGGCAACTACGAGCTGGATGCGACGGTAGGTTGGCACTGGTTGACGAAGCTCACGCTTGCGGCGTGCCAAAGGGCATGCGAGGAGCCGATTTGTTCGAGCTCATGTTCACCATGCAAAGTGGGCGACCATGGGGGATGTGAAAGTCTTGTTCTGGTTGCATTCTGAGTCTTTCCGGGTCAGGATTTGGCTGATTGGGCCTGTCGCTTCATCTCTTGGGGCGGACCGGTCCCAGATGCAGAGCAGCATATTTTGCGCGCATGTCGTAAGCATGATGTCTGTCTGCTGATGTGTGTTCTCCCCTCAGGTCGGGTCGGAACGCTATTGCTATGTCCACCGCCACTGCAACTCCATGATGTCGGTGCCAACATACCAGATCTTGGACCTCCGGCAAAAACTAAGATTGCTGCCAAAATATTACCCAGAGTTGCGGCCCGGCACAGAACAGTTGCTGCCATCTCGTTCTGGAAGAGCGCACATCTTGTGGTGAGGAAGTGAATCTCACAGAGAGCCCATGCCCCAGAGTGGGTTGAGCAGTTCGTACAGTTAGGGTGTGGAGGAGCTTCGAAAGTTCTGCTCAGGCCCCAGGCGCTTGAACAGCTGGCTCGGGCCTTGGTTGCCCAGTGAGGTTCGCCAGTATCCCGTCCACAAACACGAAGAAATGGACAGGCGAAAGGAAGCGCACGCACACGTGCACACGCGCAGACGCACGCCCACACACAGACAGACAGACCGGCAGGCACGCAGGCACACAGACACACACGGATACACAGACACTCGCTCGCTCTGCCTCTGTCTCATTCTCCTCTTGAATTGAGGCGCTGGGCCCCACGGGCTCTGCGGCCTCTGGGGTCTCCGGCTCCAGGTGCCTTGCTGTTCTCGCTCCGCATCTCTCTCTCTCTCGCTCATCTCCCTCTCTCTCGCTCATCTCGCTCGCTCGCTCTCTCTCTCTCTCTCTTTCTTTCCTTTTTTCTGTCTCTCTCTCTTTCTCTTTCTCTGTCTCGCTCTCGCTCTCTCTCCGCCCCTGCGTTTCTCCCCATTCCCCCGCTTCGGGTGGCAGGCGGATGGCCAAGGCACGGATGAGGGGATCCAACAGGGGCCCCGAAAGCAGCAAGAGCTGTAATATGCAGCAATGCAAGCGGCGATTGAAGCTGTAGCTGCGTAGCTCTTGGGTTGCGGCTTGGCAGGTACGCCCGGCAGTTGCTGCAGGTGCAGATCGGCGATGGCGGGATGTCCGGGCCTGGAGAGAGCCCAGAGAGTCCCGTTTGAGTCCGTTTTCCCGCGCCGTTTGTTTGTTTGATGCCCGACGTTGAGGATGGCCTGGTTCTCCGAGAATGCTGTGAAGGAGCGCACCCTTGCTTGTGACTGCACTGTGCCGTATTCATGTTCTACTGTGTTGTATGAAGGTTCTGCTGGCTGTGCTTTCCATCCTCCTGCCGGTGCTGGCCCTCTCGCAGGTGGGATTTGCAGAGCCTGCAGATTTTTGGAAGAGTCCATGCATCGCAGGCACGATCCGCAGCCTCGGCAGCCCTCCAGGCCCGAACAACCCCAAGCTCACGTCATGCCAAACAGGTGTCTCAGTCAGTGTTTCTCTTCAGAAGGTTCAAGGCTCCAGCATGCTTAGCAGTGCTAGAGTGTGAGGCCAGCCACCAGAGCTCTCAGCAGCAGCTCCGAGCTTTGCTGGCTGGGGCCGGCCCAGCTTCACCAGCTTCAGGAGACCCGCAATGTGAAGAGGCACAACGAAATGGCGCCGTATCCCGCCAAAAGGAGACGGTGTCGTCATGGCTGGAAACCTGAGCAAGGACGAGGACGAGTCAACGACCCCACCTTGTGACATGACCGCGCTCCGATTCTGCCGTGAGCTGTTCTTCAAGGACCTCGAGCTCGCATCCTCCAAGCAGACACGGCGCCCTGGCTGCCGCTAGCAGCCGCTAGCAGCAGCCACCCGATGTATTGCGCGGCACAGCTGAGGTACAGCTTCCTGCAAGATGTAGCTGACGCTGACCACTTTTTGTCCTGCGCGGCATGCGTTGAGTACTCGAAACCCCAGAATCAAGATTTGCAAGTTGGAAGGGCAGAAAGGGAAGAGCTGGGCACTCTAGATTTATGTGGTAAAGGCACAGTCGCCAACCCATGGTTTTCTTTTTACTTTCGGAAATTTGACATGCTGACATGCCAGGCCCTCAGCTCTTCCTCATTGTGCCCTGGCGCTCACGCAAGTGAGCCCGGCGCGGAATGCGGAACGGGGCTTCGGTGCAGGGGGACATTTGAACATCACGCATGGAATCCGACCTGCCGTACCTATTTTAGATGATAGCCCTGAAGCAAAAAGATGATAGTATATCATCTTTTATGAGAACATATTATAGTATTACATCGTGCATATCACATGTCATCGTACATTTTTGTTCATATTCACTTTTCCTGTGCACTTTTTGTTCGCACAGAGGGGTCTCCCAGGTGGAGCAGAGACCCGCCCCCAAACAGATACAGCAACACTTGATATTGGATAATAATGACAAGTAACAAAACAAAGAGCGCTTGCGCCAGGTCCTGGCTGCGCTACTGTGCACAGCAGCGGCGTGCAGCCGTCAGGCGCATGAGAGCCTGAGAGTCGAACCCCCCAAAAGTTTGCAATTCTGAATTCGAATTCTGATTGTGATGATCATGGATGATGACTGCTAGTATAAATCTGTGTGTGAACTGCACGAAGAACACACAATCCGATGAAGTGATCGTTTTGTTTCACGGTTCAAGCCGGGAAAGCCACAAAACCGAGGCGTGGAAGGAAACATTTGGATGTGAGGGTGCTATGGGGGCCCGCCCTTTGCTTCAATTCCAAGATCCGCTCGCTGCAAAGAGCTGGCACTTTGATCTCCTACCCCCAGAATCGTCCCGTCACGCCAGTGTGGGATCTGAAGCTGCGCGCGCCACCCACTAGAAGCAAAGAAGTGACGCCATTCACCTGACAGGGTCCACTCTCCCGTTCTCCAACGCTCCCTCTCCCCTCGAAGAAGCCTTGGGGCTTGCATGAATCTCTACTTAACAAGGTCCGATGCACAATGCAGTGATATGCAGTGGGTGCCTTCAGAAGCCGCTGTGTTCAGGCAGTGCCGGCCGTGATGCTCACCATCCTCCTGGCGCCAAGCCCTCAATTGAAAAGGACACCTAGGACACCTAAGCAGGGAGTCAGGGAGCCAATGATTCTAATGATCTGTGGAGGGCCCCCTTGTAGCTGGAGATGCGCTGCGAGGAAGTCCGAACAGCTCTTTTGCCAGGGAGAACGGGCGGTGACGGACAGCAGTGAAGCGTGGATCTACCAATATCTACCAGGTCATCGCTGTACTTTCACCACCGGCGTCTGTCCATGGTGCAGCAGCGGTAGCCTCAATGTTCAGGGAACGCTTTTGGATTGTGGCAGAGGGCGCACCCAGAAAAACTCACAAAAACCGCAGGGGGGGGGATGACAAAAGAGCACTGGGAGGGGATGCTGGGACCGGGCCCGCCACTGCTGTTGAGGCTTCGTCGCTTTGCCAGCTGCAGCGAAGCAGCCGCCGCCTGGAGCACAGTCCAGAGTCCAGAGAGCGCGCACCGTAACGGTGGCTCTACTTAGACTTGACTGACCTCAAGCAACAATACGGCTCCACTACATCAAAACACGGTACTACTGCGCGCACGTATTTGTCTTGACATCTTCTCAGGCTTTGCGAGTCCTGCACCTCACCGAATGCCACGAGGCGGCTGAAAGTTTTCGAAATGGATCGCAGACGCCACTTAGGAAAAGATACTGCAGGTCTTGTGTCTCCACGGCCACATCGAAACTATATGGAAGGAGTATGAGGCAGGAGGGCGGGTGAGTTTTGGACCTCAAAATGGAGCTTGAACGTCAGGGGTAAATGGTCAAGGGTCGGACATCAGAACTTCTCTGCCCTTCAATTTGGCCGCCCAGCGCGCCACGCCCATCACCCCGAGCCCACGAGCATCAGCGAGGCATTCTGCCAAGATGCCGCCCTGGCTGCCATTGCATCCGACGCTGCCGAGAGGCTTCTGCACAGTTGACCCCGTGCTGTGCTAGAAGGAGCTCTCTCTCGCTCTCTTACTAACTCTCTCTCCCTTCTCTCCCTTCTCTCCCTTCTCTCCCTTCTCTCCCTTCTCTCCCTTTTCTCCCTCTCTCTCTCTCTCTCCCTCTCTCTCTCTCTGTTGCAATTTTGTCTCTGCCTCTCGCTTCTTCTCTCTTTCGTTTTTGTACTGACAGGTGGCTTTACAGTTGCATTCACGGCTTGGTTGCCCTGCTTCTTGGGCTCCTCTCCTTTTCGGCCATGACGCAGGCACAGCTTTCAGCTGATTTTGGCTTTCTGCCAAAAACTACCTACAGATTTCGAGACCGTGCTCTTGGTATTTTGCTACAACAACTGAACTACAACACATATATGTGTTTGTTTTATGATGTTCCAGCTCACGTCTCGAATTGCGAAGGCGCAGAGCCTCCCAAGCCGCTTGGGCTTCGCAGTGGCCGCGGCCTCTTTGGCCCAAGCCGCTCGGGCTGAACAAAGTCTCGCCGACGTTTTTCCGCGAGATGCTAGATCTCACACGAACATAAGAAGCAGCATGTGTAATATGTCAAAACTGTTACACTATATCGCATGTATAACTTGTAATTGTAAACACTAGCGCGCCACCTCGGCTGTCACGCCCTGTGTTTTTCTCCGAGACCAAGACCCGGGTATGTCGTGCCCCCGTGTTTTTCTCCGAGAGCAGGACCCGTGTATGTCACGCCCCCGTGTTTTTCTCCAAGTGTTTTCTTCTCCGAGATCAAGACCCGTGTAAGTCACGCCCTGCACACTTTTCCAAGAGCGACGCCGTGTTTTTCTCCGAGGTTAAGGCCCGTGTTTGTCACGCCCCGTGTTTTTCTCCGAGGTCAAGACCCGTGTATGTCACGCCCTGTGTCTTTTCTGAGGTCAAGACCCGTGTACGTCACACTCCGTGCTTTTCTCCGAGGTCAAGACCCGTGTATGTCACGCCCTGTGTTGTTTTCTGAGAGCAATTCTCGTGTATGTCACGGCCCCTGTTCTTTCCGGGGTCAAGACCCGTGTATGTAAAGCCCCGTGTTTTTTTCCGAGGTCAAGACCCGTGTATGTCACACCCCGTGTTTTGCTCCGAGATCAAGACCCGTGTACTTCACGCCTTGTGTTTTTCTCCGAGGTCAAGACCCGCGTATGTCACGCCCTGTGTTTGTCTCCGAGAGCAAGACCCGTGTATGTTACGCCCTGTGTTTTTTCTGAGGTCAAGACCCGTGTATGTCACGCCCTGTTTTTTTTCCGAGAGCAAGACCCGTGTATGTCACGCCCTGTGTGTTTTTGTGCCGGGGGCAAGGCAAGACCCGTGCATGTCACGCCCTACGTTGTTTCCGAGATCAAGACTCGTGTATTTCATGCCCTGTGTTTTGAGAAAGACCCGTTATGTCACGCCCTGTGTTTTTTTCCGAGAGCAAGACCCGTGTATGTCACGCCCTGTGTTTTTTCTGAGGTCAAGACCCGTGTATGTCACGCCCTGACTTTTTTCGAGAGCAAGACCCATGTTGTCACGCCCTGGTTCTTTTTTTTTTGCGAGTTCAATACCCGAGTAATTTTGTCACGCCCTGTGTTTTTTTCCGAGGTCAAGACCCGTGTATGTCACGCCCAGTGTTTTTTTCCGAGAGCAAGACCCGTGTATGTCACGCCCTGTGATTCTTTCCCGAAGGCAAGACCCGTGTATGCATCGCCCTGTGTTTTGTTTTCCGAAGGCAGGACCCGTGTATGTCACGCCCTGTGCTATTTTCCGAGAGCAAGATCCGTGTTTGTCACGCCGTGTATTTTTTTCGGAGGTCAAGACCCATGTGTGTCACGCCCTGTATTTTTTTGCGAGAGCAAGACCCGTGTATGTCACGACCTGTTGTTTTTTGGAGGTCAAGACCCATGTAACCTTGTATGTCACGCCGTGTGTTTTTTTCGAGGTCAAGACCCGCGTGTGTCACGCCCGGTGTTTTCCTCTGAGTGCAAGACCCGTGTATGTCACGCCCTGTGTTGTGTTCCGAGGTCAAGACCCTCGCCCTGTGTCTTTTCGGAGGTCAAGACCCGTGTACGTCACTCCCTGTGCTTTTTTCCGAGGTCAAGGCCCGTGTATGTCATGCCGTGTGTTTTGTTTCCGAGATCAAGACCCGTGTACGTCACGCCCTGTGTTTTTCAAAAGCAAGACCCGTGTAGCCGTGTATGTCACGCCCTGTTTTTTTATCGAAGAGCAAGACCCGTGTATGTCACGCCCTGTTTTTTTCTCGAAGAGCAAGACCCGTGTATGTCACGCCCTGTGCTTTTTTCCGAGGTCAAGACCCTTGAATGTCATGCGCTCTGTGTGTGTGTGTGTGTCTTTCCGAGAGCAAGACCCGTGTATGTCACGCTCTGTGTTTTTTCCGAGAGCGAAACCCTGTGTTTTCTTCCCGAGGTCAAGACCTGTGTATGTCTTGGCCTGTGTTTTTTTTTCCGGGAGCAAGACCCGTGTATGTCACGTCCTGCGTGTTTTTTTCCGAGAGCATGAGCCGTGTTGTCACGCCCTGTGTGTATTTTTCGAGGTCAAGACCCGTGCGTGTCACGCCTTGTTTTTTTTCTCCAGAGGTCAAGAGCTATGTATGTCACGCCCTGTGTTTTTTTCTCCGAGAGCTCGACCCGTGTATGTCACGCCCTGTGTGTTGTTTTCCGAGGTCAAGACCGTGGTCAAGAACCGTGTATGTTACGCCCTGTGTTTTTTCAAAGGTGAAGACCCGCCCTGTGCTTTTTTTCTGAGAGCAAGGCCCGTGTACGTCACGCCCTGTGCTTCCTCTGAGGTCAAGACCCTTTTATGTCACGCCCTGTGTATTTTTCCGAGGTCAAGACCCGTGTATGTCACGCCCTGTGATTTTTTCTCCGAGAACAAGACCCGTGTATGTCACGCCCTATTGTTTTTTGCTTTTCCGCGCCCAGTGTTTCTTCTTTCCGAGAGCAAGGCCCGTGTATGTCACGCCCTGTGTTGTTTTCCGAGGTCAAGACCCGTGTATGTCATGCCCTGTGCTTTACTTTTTTTCCGAGACCAAGACCCGTCAGATGAGTGTATGTCACGCCCTGTGTTTTTTCTGAGGTCAAGAGCCGTGTATGTCACGCCTTGTGTTTTCTTTCCGAGAGCAAGACCCGTGTATGTCACGCCCTGTGTTTTTGCCGAGGTCAAGACGCGTGTATGTCACGCCCTGTGCTTTTTCTTTCCGAGAGCAAGACCCGTGTACGTCACGCCCTGTTTTTTTTTCTGAGGTCAAGACCAGGGCCAGTCCCACAAATGAGGGCGGGTCTGTTGGGGGGAATGGTATTACAGATCCTGGTCTGCTCGTTTTTCGACGCCTCTCGACCAGAAGCCGGGCGAATATTCTTCGGCCTTCTTGAAGCATGTTTGCTCGTTTCTTCTTTTTTTCAGTTCGATGTTCCTAGGTGGCACTACTGCCGGATGCCCTCATCGAGCTGGTGAAGCACGGCGCGCGAGACACAATGAACGGAATGGACGGACTGAGCAGAATGAACATGAATGAAGATGCATGAGCAAGAATGAACACCTGGAGCCTTTGGATCGCAGCACGGACTGCTGTGCGAGCATGAGGCTCGTCTCACGCACGGCTTGGCGGCGCTGCGTCGCATGGCGCAGACCTACAAGGTGAAAGACCTGCCTATAATATTAACACGGTGTATATGAATGTTCAAGATATCCACTACAATTGGGCTACATGGAATCACGGAGTCCTCTGAGTCAGGAGACCTCTCCGGAAGAGCTAGAGAGCCCGATCCTGCTGGAGACCCCCGAGCTCGAAGGCCAACGCTGCTTCCTTACTGAGCCATTTCTTGGGGGAGAGTTCAAACAGCGACTCAGGGCAGACGACTGCGCTCTGCTTTGCGTCCTGCTTGCGCTCGGCTGCGGCGGTTGGGTGTTCTTTTCTTTTTGCTTGTAGCCGCCCCTCTCAGACAAGCGCTCGGTCATCACTCGAAGTGGCAAGGCTCGGGCTGCACAGGAACTCTGAAGAAGCCTGAAAGCTCTTGAAAGAAGGAGCCATAAAGAGCCCAAGAATGAGAGCTCCCTGCGTTAGTTTTTCTTTCTTCGCTTTGTGGTGATCACTGGTTGTTTTACAGCAGCTTTGGGAAGCGCAGGTGGCCCTGGGAGATGTGATGATCGAAAACGAGACAGTCGGTGAAGTGGCGACAGCTAAGCCGCAGGCAGGAGCCAACTCCATACAGGATAAGAGAGCCAGGTTCATGCGGGCAGACGCGCACGGGAGCAAACGAAGAAAAAGCAAGCTTGAAAGCCAACACAGACTAAAGGCACAAGAGTCGGCCAGGCCCGGGGGCAGTCCGTCTCGCTTGCCGGCTTCCCGATGGAGAAGGCGGAGGGATGCGGAGGGCGGGAAAGGGCTGGCGCTCTCTCAGCTTCGCCGCATCTCATGTAAAAAGAGGTTCCCGGCGACTGGCCCTACTTCGGGGCTGTGGAGTTCGAGAAGGTCACAGTGAGGCACAGTGGCATTGAGTCTCATGGAGTGCTTTGTAGCCGCATCAAGGAGTTCTGCCTTTGTTTTCAAGGTATGGCCCAGGCTTCTCGCCGGCCCTTTCCAGCTGTTCGTTGGTGCTTCCGGCTGGGAAGGAGGGGTTCAGAGAGATGAGCCGTGAGATCAAGAGTACCTGGTGTACCTATACAGTAGCAACTACACCAAAAATTGCCTATATTGGACTCTTTTGCTGTGTCATCCTGAGTCGGCGCATGAGTGGAGGCACTGTTGGTCGTCGGCGCTCAAGGTTGCGGCAAGTCGTCGCTGCTCAAAGCCCTCCTTCGCTGCTGCCACATCGAGGCTGCGGCAATGCTGCGTGTAGGCGAGCTGCTGCGCTGCTGGGCGTCCCAATGGTGCACAATGAACATGCTGCACGCTGTGGCAACACGCTGTGGCAACACGCTGTGGCAACACGCTGCAGTCGGGCCGCGTGGTGCTGGACGCCGTGGATGTCCGGTCTGTGGGCTTAAGCACTCTGCGAGGCAGGCGCCCGTGAGGAGTTTCTCAGAGAAGCGAGAAAAAGAGAGAGAATATGAGAGAATTTTGCAAAATGCTGAGAGCGAAACATTGGAGAGAGCAGTGAGCTTTCGTTGCTAATTCTTCCAAAGGGAGAGGTGCGCTTTTTTGCAGATTCTTGCTGAGGCCGCGTCGGCGTAGTCCCGCAGGAGCACATGGGTTCAAGACGAGACTTATACATGGTGTTTGATCTAGACTGTAGATTTCTCTGTCCTCGAAGTATTGAAATTCAAAGAGGAGAAATCTCCAGACAGTCAAAATATAGGACTGCATGGGATTCAGAACTGCCATGCAGGAGCTGTGCATCTTCCGCGGCACTTGGAGACAGAATCTGGATCCCATGCGCGAGTTTGAGGAGGCACAATGCAACGAGAGACTCTGCCAGATGACTGGAAGAATGAGAAGAATTCTATGTTGGGCCATGTCGTTGAACAAATTTAAGTTCACAGTAGAAGGTTCTGATGCGGTGTGTTATCATATGGGGTTCTGTCCTGGACTCCTTGGCAGGAGGACCTGCGTCGAGTGCTGCGGCTGATGCGCCTGGAGAACTTTACGTCAGGGACACAGTGACTCCAAGCTTCCTCCGAAAAAACGCTCAACAAACCCCACCCAACCGTACGTACTTCGAACATGACTTGCGGACTCCTTGCCATTCCTATAGGCCATGTAGTGCCGGCACTGGCAGCTGCCACACTGTGAGGGTTTCGAAGGTGTAGCTGGCAGACGGCGCTTGAGTGCTTGTAGTGTCTGAGCAAGGTCTGAGCTGGATGCTGCGGTCCCCCTGCAGGCAGGGGAAGCATTTTGCGGAAAGTAATAGGCCCCAGTCGTACTCAGCTACTCGCGCTGTGAGAACGAGAAGTGCAGCCGACATCGCTGTCGAATTGAAGGCTTCGACAAGGCCATAAGAAGCGGAATACCACTATGTGGCGACTGCAAAAGCGCAAAGTAACACTGAGAACTATCGAGCCGCATGCGGCAGCCACGCAGCAAAACTAGATACTGCAGCGGCCAGCCCCATTTGTGCATGACAACTGTAATAATTTTTGCGGATGAACAGTGATTCCAGGCCATAGGAGACATGCAAGGTGGGTACAGTGAAGGATAAGGTTGTCATCCACAGTCATTTATTCGCCGTGCCTCATTGAGACCAAGCGGCCAAAGCGGCAAAAGGTGGAGGCAAAGTTCAGACCGATGGACGACCGCCTGCAGTTCATTCCGCTAAAGTGTTGTTCCTGGTCAGAAGAGCCACCGCAGCACCTTCCTCCGAATGGGGGGGTTAAACCTTATAGCCGAGCTCTTAAGGCTGGCGATTTTGTAGTTTCCTGGTAACAGGAGGCTGGGAGGCATAGCAAATCATTGCTGCTACTGCCGGTAGACTGAACTTAGGCTGAACGCATGCCGCGCGGAATTCGGTGGGTCGTGTGTGTGCCTAGAAGTCTCGAGTCTCGACGATCTGCTTGTGGAAGGCATTGGGGCCCTCCGCTGTCCTGCTGTGCCTGTGCCGCGCCATGCTCCGGCTGCTCGAAGGGTCCGGCCTCGCCGTTTCTGTGACAATCAGACATTGTGAAATTGTGAAGTATATAGGACATGAGAAGAGAATTTTTGGGGAAGGCAGAGAGAGAAAGCCGAGAAAGCAGAGCCGTTTCGGCGTAGGCGGTCCAAGCTGCTGCTCTTGGATGCAGCCACCTGCCGCTTGACCTCAACCTCCGATGCAGCCCCTCGGAAAGGAATGAAGAGAGGGTGTGAGAGATCGAACAGCTCCTACAAGGGTGTAAGTTGCAAAGAGCAACTCTGATCCATGTTTCCCCTTCTGCCTCAGGACCTGACCGCCATCGTTCTACGATACTGCCGTCGCCGTGGCGCAGCCGTGCTGCAGGTCGGGGACTGTCACACGAGAACCTGACCCACCCAAGAAAACCATCCCCTGCCCCGAACCCCTTTCCTTTTGCAGAGGTACATACTCTGATCTGTCACGAAAGAAGCTTTGTGCAATAGATGCCACATGCAAGGAGTTGCGTTAATGCCAGACCTTTCGAAGAAAGCAGTTTGCAACAAAAACTGCTGCCGCAACGAAACTGTCACGAAGAGAGGCTGTGTGCGGATAGTTGACGTAAAACAAAAGCTTATTTCGAAAGGAAACGCAGTGGTTTGCCATAGAACCACTGTTCCACGCCACGAAATGTAGCGGGGGAGCTGCTTTCAAACAGATGAAAACATGGTGGTTTCGAAAGATCTACTGGCAAAACGCAACGAAAGCACCACAGAAAGAGGATGTGCGCGGGAGTTGCCTCAAGTCAAAGCAAGATCTTTCGAAGAAGGAAACGCGGTGTTGTTTGACAGAGATAGGTTCCAATGGAACTGTCACGAAAGGAAGCTGTGCACGGGATGTTGCTTTACAGCAAGACTTTTCGAAGGAGAAAGCGTGCCGCACAAGCCGTCCTCACCTCCCAAGCGTTTCCTTTTTCGCTAAGCCAGCTGCAACATGGGCAATCATGGGTACAGCCCCTCTACAGTTCATTTGCCCGTTCATGATTCTTGCCACATCCTGCAGAAACCTGATAGACCACCTTGAATGAGCGCCAAAAGTCCATCTCATGAAGGATACTGCTTTATGACTTGGCGATGCCAATCCCTCCCCCTTCCCACTCCCAGGTCAGCCGACGCCCACAGCAGGCGCCGCTCTACGACGAGGCCGCATGCTGGGATGGAATCGAAAGTGGCGAATGCAGCGGAGAAGAGCATCTTGAGTAACTTGAGTGTGCGCAAAGGCCCCCTTGTGTGCCAAGGTCGCGGTGATGGCCACGGGCCGCGTCGTGGAACAGGGCCCGGCAAAGAAACTTTGGGCTTGGCGCCTTATGCTTTGGGGCCCTTGACGGGCTTGTGAGAGATGCTTGCGCGATGGTTCTTGCACGATGCTCCTTCGGTTCGCCACGTTAGGTCAAGGACGGGGCCCTTCGCCGCGTGGCCAAGGACCAAGGCGCCAAGAAGCTCAACAGATCATCAGACTTCATTTGAGAAGTTATAACCACTGGAAGTATCCGGAAGCTTCCGCGCGGAGGCTTGGATTCCTCCAAGATGACCAAGCCAGATGCCGTTGCCGCGCGGCTCATGCCGGTTTGGGGCTGGGAGGCCCCCTGTTTGAATGACAAAGAGAGCCACCGTATGAGTCCCTGAGCATCCCTGACCTGCAGGTCAGTCCTCAGGAGGATCCGTCTTTCAGCGATGAGTTTGCGGTGTCCATGAAGAAGGCAGGGGCTCTTCAAGGATGTTCAGGGCTCTCAGCTTCAGAGGAAACTCAATCTTCAGAGCAGCTCCTTTTTGGAACGCCCAGGCGAAAGGTTGAGGCACCTCGCGAAGTTCGCAGCACCTTGGAGAGCCTCAGATGCTTTCTTGAGACCTGTGTCCAACTATGTCACTATGCCAGACGAGTAGGGAAGGAAGACAAAGGCTGACAAAGGGCACCTGCTAGTGAGATGCGAGCCGTCCCAAAGAGCTCGGCTTAAGACTGACGTCAATTGACGAGTGACGGAAGGTAATAAGGGGACCTCAAATGGCCCGCATCGCGCGGAACTCGCGCGTGGGTGCATGGCTCCACATGCCTCTGTTTCGGCTGCCAAAGCATCGCAGCTGAACGGTACTCTAAAGGTTTCCCCAACGCTGCGAGCAAAAGCAGAAAACCACCTTTGACTGACATCGAGCTCTGTGGGCGAAGATGGGCGAAGGATGGTGAAGGCTGTTTGTTGAATTTTGTGTGCCGCGCAGAGCAAAAAACCAACCCTCGAGTCTCTACGTAGCTGGAGCTGCCATTTGTGAGCAAAACGTGATGGCTCTTCACCGGCATGGTCGGGTGTTCGAAGCTGGCTTTCTTTAGAGGGTCGGGTTTCGGTGGGTTCCCAATTTGCTCAAAAAGGGTGTTGCGATTTTCGATGTAGGACTACCCTCGTTTCTTGTTGTCCTTCGAAGCCGCTAGTTGAAAAATTCCACCGCCTCCTTTGAAGCCGCAGTGGAGAGTTTTTCTTTTTTGGGGGGGAGGGGGGGGGTGGGTGGGTGTCTTTAGGGCCACTTTAGGGGGCGGGGGGGGGGTAAAGGACTTAACAATTCACAACGCAGGTTTTGGTATTGAAATCTAGAGAAATTGGAGTTTTCCAATTAAATCATATAGAACATAGAGGTTTTCCGCTTTGAATTTCGAGAGAATAGAAAGGCTTTGCTACTAGAATACAGAGAAAAGTTTTCATGTTCACAGATAGAAAATAGAGGTTGTCCGGTTAGCATTTTAGAGAAATACAGGTTTTCCTCTTAAAATATTGAGAGGATTAATAGAGGTTTCCTATTCAAATCTAGAGAAAATGGCGATAGAGGTTTTCCCAATAAAACCGACAGAAAGTTGAGATTTGCCTCATGAAATATACAGCAAGTCCTAAACCCCAACAAAATTCCAAACTACAGACCCATAGACAAATGAGTGGTCCTCTTTTCTATGTGTCCACCGGAGGTCAGTTTTGATGTGTGTGTGGGGTACGGTTGCTACGGTCAAGCCTGCGCAGAGTGTACAGTTTTGGTGCGATTCGGAGGGACAGCAGTTCTCGCGAGTCTCGAATGCTGATCTTGAACTTTCCTGCCGCAACTCGAACCGAAAACATCCGGGGCTAAACATGTTATATTGTTTTCGGGCTTGAACCGCGGAGTGGTTGTAAGGTTGTTGCGGAACGTGTTGGATCATTCTAGGCACTGAGGGCACAACCAGGGATGCCAGTGTATGCGAGCATCCCAAGGCATGTATACGCCCACCATGGGGTACGGGTTCATCTCCCAGATGTGACAGTTTCCCTTGCAGGATTGGCCGCGTCAAGTTCGCCCGGCCGCTGCGTCTCCCACGGTCCAGAACCAGCGCGCGGATACCACACCGTTCCCCTGAAAAGCGCCGCGCATGCATTTGTTGATCGAAGAAAACATTGGATTGCGCGCCTTCCAGTCTGACCCTACTTTTCTCGAATGGTGCATGTGGGGTCAGTTTCTATAGGTATGCTATGCAACAAGAAAAAAGATGGCAAGGTTTCCTTGGCTCGGGGCCAAAGCTTCAAATCGCCGCGCGCATAGGAAGACGCTACATGCCCCCTCAAAAGCACTGTTGGCTGATTTACGTGGACATCCGATGATGCCCAACTATCTTCCTTTGGCTTAGTTGAGCCTGTGGACGTGTACTTCACACTGAACGTTGCCGCTGTGCATTGGTAGTGCCGTAATCCAAATCTGGCCTTTCGGAGATGGCACCCAAGAGATGCGTTGGACACAGTTGCTACAGTCGTCATAACATAAGGTGCATCGAATAGAGCAGCGGGCAAAACGCCCAATCAAGCCGCAGCCATGTTTTGGGAAGCGGCGCTTGTAAGGCCGTCGGGAATGGGGTTAATGACCTCCAGGGCCCAAAACCTCCAATTCCCAAAGCCCCAAGCCCCAAACCTCAGTGCCGCAGCCACAAACCCGAAAAACCCAAACCCCCCAAGCCCTCGACCTGAAATCCCAAAGCCCTGACGCCCAAGAGCCCCAAAGCTCAAGAACCCCGGACCTGAAAATCCAAAAGCCTTAAATCCCAAAAGCCAAACCCGAAAAGCACAACTCCCGTAAGCTGTAAACCTGAAATCCCAAAGCCCGAAATCGAGCGCTGCGCGGGTGGCACGAACAGCCCGAAATCCCCAAATCCCCAAATCCCAGAGCTCGAAAGCAAGACCCTACACCAACACGCACGCACGCACGCACACCAACACGCACGCATGCACCCACCCACACGCACGCACGCACGCACGCACGCAGTCTGAGTTGCTATTTGACAAAATGCACCCACTCTGTGGCCAGAACACGATTTCAAGCTCAAAGCAAAACCTTCCGCCGACGCATGCACACACTCCACGCAAGTGCATGCCAAATACACGATTTTCAAAGTGGCTATTTCGCAAAACGCGCCGCGCTGTGGAGCACGATTTCAAGCGCAAACTGTGTGCGAAACTTGAAACAATAGACGTAAAGAACATCCAGCATTTTTTCACCACCTGCAGCTGCGACGCCTGCAAGAGAGATGTGTTTTTTCTTAAAGTTTTCAGCGTGCCACGTGACCAAAATGTAACTCAAGCATGTGATTAATTGCACGGCCTCTTACAGGCGCCGGCACCATGTTTCGAACGTGGCGATGCTGCGCTGTGGGCGCAGTGGGCGTGTGCATGCAGGCCAATTGTTTTTGAAGTGCAGCATCATGTACCCGCTGGTGATATGATTGTGCAGGTTGTGAAAGAAACCACGACCGGAGAATATATTCCTGTGAAACAGTGCGAAGCTGAGTTTGCGGGGAGCCATGAGACTCATGAGAACACGACAGTTGCAGAGTTGAAGCTCAGTGAAGCTGTGGCGAAGCCTGAGGCTGCCAGGCGCATTGCAACGACCAACTTGGCCGTGATGCAAAGCATTTTAACTGCTACCTGAATCTCGGCACGTTGCATCCAAGTTGGCTTGCGGGCATTGGCGGCTTCCGGCATCCCGACCGTCCCGACCGTCTCGACCCAACTCGGACTGCACGGACGAAGTCTGCTGAGAAGGCACACTTCCAGCTGATGATCTTCAATTTTTGTAAAGGACGGCTTGCAGCTTATTTCCCTTATCGCAAATGTTCAGACTTGCGCCACATAGATAGGTGCCGTTGACGATGCAAAGTCCGGATCCGCGTTAGCGCAAGTAGCCGTTTGCCGAAATGCCTCTGCGTAACAGAACAAAAGAAGATTGGCTTGCTCAGCTTGCGCAAGGTCTTGCAGACTCCTCTTCCAAAACAAAGGGTTTGGCGGCTGCTCAGGAGGCTTGCATCGAAAACTTAAAGCTTGGCGGCTTGCCTTTGCCCATGGATGCGAATGTGCCGGCCCTGGGCCCTGGGGGACACCAGAGCTGTGCACTTGTGTTGTGGCACCGACCTTGCGCACCCCACATGATCACACATGCAGATCCACATGCAGACAATCTGCCAGACATTCCAGGGCACCGGATGCCTGTGAGCATGTATCACTTGGCTACCTTGCTACGGCTGTGCACACGGCCCAAGACTTGGCACATCAAAAGCAACAGCTGGGCCACAAAGGCATGTTGCCCGTGGATCGTACCCACAGCTTTGAGGACAACGCGCCCGTGGCTCGCGTGCACCTTGCGAGGCCGAAGTCTCCGCAAGCCTGTACTTGCCATCGCTGCCCGCGAAAAATCAGAAAATCACCACTCATGCCAGATGCCACGTTGATTTGTTTGCTACCTTTGCGCCGTGCTTCCTGGCACCACCAAAGATTGGCTTGCTCAGCTTGCGCAAGAGGGGGACACCAGAGCTGTGCACTTGTGTTTTGGCACCGACCTTGCACACCCCACATGATCCACATGCAGACAATCTGCCAGACATTCCAGGGCACCGGATGCCTGTGAGCATGTATCACTTGGCTACCTTGCTACGGCTGTGCACACGGCCCAAGACTTGGCACATCAAAAGCAACAGCTGGGCCACAAAGGCATGTTGCCCGTGGATCGTACCCACAGCTTTGAGGACAACGCGCCCGTGGCTCGCGTGCACCTTGCGAGGCCGAAGTCTCCGCAAGCCTGTACTTGCCATCGCTGCCCGCGAAAAATCAGAAAATCACCACTCATGCCAGATGCCACGTTGATTTGTTTGCTACCTTTGCGCCGTGCTTCCTGGCACCACCAAAGATTGGCTTGCTCAGCTTGCGCAAGAGGGGGACACCAGAGCTGTGCACTTGTGTTTTGGCACCGACCTTGCGCACCCCACATGATCCACATTGATCCACATGCAGGGCACCGGATGCCTGTGAGCATGTCTACGCGTGTTGCGCTCCCTTGTGTTGGTTCCTCCTCACGCCGCCCTCACAAGTAGGGAAGGCGCTTTCTCGAAGAGTTTCGCAAGGGTCGCCCGCGCACTCGCTTGCTTGTGCCTGCAGGAGATGCTTATCAGCACGTTTGCTTGTTTTGCGCTCCCGCTTGTGTTGGCCTGTCTTCGCGCCACCCTCAAAAGTAGGGAGGGTGCTATCTGGTGCGTTTTGCACTCCGCTTGTGTCGGGTCTACAGAGTCTACACTCCAACTCGCAGCGTGTAGCTGAGTCTCACATGCAAGGCTGCCATCCTGTCCATGACTCAAGCCGTGGCAAGCTTGCAGGCGCCCTTGAATGGATTGAAGGCCTTGGCGGTTTAGCGCGCTTTAGTCCTGCTTGTGCTGTTGCAGCCTTTATGGTCTTGCTAGGCAAGGGGCCTCGCACGGATCCTGTTCAAAATCTGGAGCACATATCACTTGGCTACCTTGCGACGGGTGCTATGCGTGCGACCGAACTTTCAGGCAGGATTTGGTTGCCAAGACTCGGCACCTCAAAAGCAATAGCTGCGCCAGGCATCGTACCCACAGCTTTGTGGACAACGTGCC